CAAGACAATTCAGTGAAACACCAAAAGTTGTTCTCCAAAATACCAAATTTCAAAACAAGTTCACAGCTGAAGTGGATCTAAGTCCTGGCTTTTTCCAGGTGCAAGGCATCCCAGACAGTTTAGAAACAGAGAACCAGAGTGAGTCAGAAGGGACCTCCCGGGCCATCTAGTCTGACCCCCGGCTCCAGCTGGCTCTGCTCACGGAATGCCCACCATGTGCATGTTTAGCCTATCCTTGAACAGTTTCCATGGTCCTGTTCAAGATCGTATCCCTGCAACAGCTCCATGAAATAGGTTAGGCTCCATTGTCCATTTTTTTTATTTTAATTTTATATTTGTAACTCAGTGTATTTTTGTATTTTTGTATTTAATGGTAATTTATTATGTTCTATTGTATTTCAATGTATTTTATTGTGTTGTAAGCCGCCCCGAGGTTTCGGCAAGGGGCGGCATAGAAATGTTATAATAACAATAACAATAACAATAATAATAATTGTCAACCGTCCCACAGCTAGCTACCAAGCTGCACCACCTGAGTCTGAATCACTCAAGTCCCAGGCCAATAATTTAACACCTGCACCATGCCCACAGCTTCTGTGCACCATGAATATTTCCCCATGCCTCCCACTCCATTACATCCCTTTAAAAATGACAACTAAAAAGACCGCGGGGGTTTCCCAAGGCAGTAGAGAGTGGCAGTTTTATTTTAAACCCTTTTCCTAGCAATCTTTAGCTTGGAATTTGCCTTTTTCTCAGCTGCCACGATAAGTCAGCGTTTTGACATTGCTATCCACCTCAGCTCTTTCAGCCACTGCCCGCTGAAATCTGATCAATGCCTTTATGAAGTTTTACTATCGATTTTTAATCCAATGCGCATCATTTCACACTTACTGACGTTGAATTCCATGTGCCACTGCATTGCCCCCTGGGCAAGATACCTTGGGAGCTCTCTCACATTTTGATTTCCTCCTGGCTCAATTCCGTGGCACTAGACTGAGGCCGCATGACCAGAGGAAAAACAGGCCTTTCAGCTCTGAGCTTGGAGATGAGTTTTGAGGTTGGAGTTGGGATTTTGAATTTGGTGCAGTGTCTTCCGCCTTCACAAGCACCGTGGAAAGGACTGCACTGGGTACAGCTCCCAGCTCGGAAAATCAACCTCGGCGTCAGCATCTGGTGGGTGCGCCGGCTGGCAGAGGAGAAGTCTGTCCCATATGTACCAAGACAATGCCAAAGCTTCTCCTCCTAGAGAATGGGGGGGAAGGAGAAATGGCCAGAATTGCCCCCCCCCCCCCCCGCAAAGCTCTTTTGCGGGGCAAGGAGCATCCGTCCTCAGAATGTCCCGGCCAAGCCACCCTGCACTGCACCACCCTTGATGTTATTTTATTTGTTTGGCCACGCAACCATTGTATGTTCTCTGGGCAGCTTGCAGAACAGAGAAGAATGTTTTAGGGGAGCATTCTGTGCTCTCTGGGCAGTGGAAGCGCAGGGTTTAATTGCAGGGGGCGGCATTGTAAGCTGGCACTCAAAGGGAAAAAGGCGTGATGGCTGTTTTCTGGCATCAGGACAGTGACCTTGGAGGAGCAGAGAAGGGGGTACGAGAGGAGCCTGGAGAGGCCAGGATGTGCAGCCTCTGCAGCACCATTCCCACCTTGGCTACGGAACCCGAACCCCAACCCCCTCCGTGTTTCCGCTCCACAGGGGTGTTGTGACATCGTTGGAACAGCAGGTGGTGCTGTGGGACCGTGCGAGGGAAAGGCCCCAGAGGGTTGGTTGGGGGGCCGGGGAAGCGTCCCGAATTCCACTGGCCCTGCCAAACTGGGTGACTTTTGCAGTCTCTTCTGCCTGGCCTTCCCAGGCATCCGTTTGCATTGCTCCAGCCCCGTTCCCCCTGCTAGCAATCTCCTGACCGCCTTTTGCTTTTCGGGTTGGCCCTGTGATTCCTTCTCCCGCGTATGGAGAGGTGGAGCCCTCTGGGGCCAGAGGCCACAGCGCAGTGTCTTTCTTTCCAAAGGACGCAACACTGGCGAGAACCTGCTCCGGCCTTGCTCGCTTTGTGGGAACAACTGGCCACAAACCCTACAAGAATAAGCACCTGGCAGGAGATGTTGCGATGGAAAATTCCACCTCCGGCGACTTCGCGGTGAAATGAAACTCACCCAGTGCCTCCCTCTTCGTTCTGCTGCGTTTTCAAAGCGGGTCTCCTGGCTGCTGGGGCAGTTCAGGGGTGCGGGGAGGACAATGGCTTTCCATATGGCTAAAATGTGATCGATGTCTAAATACACACACCCCAGAGAGAGGAAGGCAACGCCAGCCGGCATGGCCTGTGGCAGGAGTTACGGAGTTTCAGTCCCAAACAACGGGAGGCCACCAGGCTGCCTACGGGTTGCAAAGGGTTGGCCGCAGGCCCGTGGGGCCCACCAGGGGAGCCAAAGGGGCCATCCACGCCGAAAACGTGGAAAGGGAAGGTTGACATGTGCCACTTGCTCACCTCACCCAGCTTCATATCTGCAGCATCCAACGGGGCTTGGAAAATGAGCGCCCCTAAGCTGAGTTTTTTCAAATGCTTTGGCCACCTAATGAGAAGGAAGGACTCCCTGGAGAAGAGCCTGATGCTGGGAATGACTGAAGGCAAAAGGAGAAGAGGGCGGCAGAGAATGAGGTGGCCGGATGGAGGCACTGAAGCAGTCGGTGTGAGCTTGGGTGGATTCTGCGGGATGGTGGAGGACAGGAAGGCCTGGAGGAATGTTGTCCATGGGGTCGCGATGGGTCGGACACGACTTCATGACTAACAACAACGAAGCTGAGTGTTGTAGCTTCTCTGGGCAACATGGACTTCCTCCAGCCACAACACACGATTCCCAACGAACTTGCCTGCAGCTTCTAGCTCTGCTGCAGAGATGGGCAAGCCACGGCCTGCCCAGTGTCTGTTGTCCAATCAGCTGAGTGCTGTGCGTGAGGTGATGGGTTAAGCTTTAGCATCCTCCTATCCTGCTAGAAAACACTTAATTGCAGCCCTTTGGGTGGGAGGGGCGGTGCGGATCTGCACACGCCGTGCATGTACGAACGGCGAGGGAGAGCACGGATGCATTAAGAACCAACTTGTTCACATGCACGGTATTCTGCGGGTGCAGATGTATCTCCTGTCGCTGACTGAGAGGAGGCATTGCCTGCTAAATTCAACTCCAAGTAGATCGCCCACCTCTGAACTGAAGGCAAAAGCAAAGTGACTCTGAAGCCATCGTGTGTACTGCTCAGAGAATGCGCAAAATGCAGCCAAATTTGTGTGTTCTCCAAAGCCTGCTGGGGAAATACACATGGTATCTTCTTTCTGGACAGGTACATTCTCCATAAGGAGAAATGCACACCATGCCCGGTTTTTGTGTGCTATGCCGTTTTTGCACACGTTAACTGGTCTTATCACAATACCCCTCCCTCCCCCCACCAATCTGCTTTGATAGGCTTGTTGAATTTGTCGGAATTTCACCTTGAAGCCTGTTCTTATTCAGCTTTATATCGGATCATAGATATAGGGGGTTTTTCACATGACAATCCATGCATAAATTTCCAAATATTCCAAACACACCATTGAAATATACATTCTTTTCTGTTTTTACTAAAGCTCATCTGTGCAATTTTTTCAAGCCTATGCATTTTAAGGCACATGCTCCAAAATGCTTTCGAATGTATTTTGTTTGGTCTGTAAACCAAGTAGAAGTGCAGAAGCGCATGGACTTTGACTGCAGCGTTGTATGAGGACTGGCCTTGACTCTGTGGACTGGGAAACAAATCTCGCAGATCAGCAGCGCTTCACCAGGTTCAGAAGGGCATTGCTCTGCCCCAAGGGGTTGACAGTCTGTAATTCAACAGGGGAAATGGAGGTAACAACCAAGAGGGCAACGAGGCACAGTATTTCGATGGCATGTGCTTAGACTCAGGGACTGTAGGCAGCAAAAGCTTCACAGAAGAGCAAGAAGGAAAGTTAGCTGAGGAAGATATCTAGACAGCTGAAGGTGGTAGGGGATAAAGAATCCATTACGGCATCTTAAGTGTGGTGGCTTTTTGGCCCATTTCCGAACAATGTGCTTTGGGATGGTCTATAGACATGGAGAAACTGCAGGAATATCAGTCGCCTGGGAACCAGAGCTGCCCACAGCCACAACCAACTGGACAGAGGGAGGAGAGACTAGAATGCAGGACTCGACCGGAATACGTCACTGCCGGGAAGACCCCGTATTTGAGAGTCTAGGAAAAAAGGCACCGTGGCCCAGATGGTCTTTAAAGTGGCCAGTAATCTGCAGGTCCCAGCGCTCTGGTCCTCTCTCCTCGTCCGCTTCCAGGAAAATGCCACCCTACTTCTGCTGGTTCCCTTCATTAAGCATTTCCCCTCAAACCGCCTACGTCTCTTCAGACTGAAAGCTGCCGCTTTCATCCCATGCTCCACTCCGCCCTCTGAGCCCAAGGCATGTTTCCAAGGGCTGGCCCAGGATGTGGAAAGTCACGCAGGGGCCATAAGCGCCGAGGAGTCCCGGTGGCTCTGCACTCTCCCCGGTACCAGGGGCAGCGTGCCTCTTCAGACCGGCTGCTGGGGAAGCACGAGTGAGGCGGTGTGGTTGGATGCCTGCCTTGGATGTGGCTTGCCAGGGGCTCCTGGTTTGCCACTGGCTGAAGAACGGAAGAGTGGCCTGACGCAGAGCCGCTGTTCAAGTCTTAACTGAGGCGTGAGCGGGCCCAAGCCTGGTTCAGTTCGTTCTAAAATTGAGCCAAATCAGAACCGGGAATGGTGGCGGACGCTACATCAAATAAGTGAAGCAACCTTTGTGCTGCCATCAACTTAATGGTGCAAGAGGACTGAGGGCCCTTTAAAGATCAAAGGAGAGACCTCACCTAGTTCTGGTAAGCAGGAAATGAGCACAAACACCATGGAAGTTTTATTCCGTACGCTTTTGGTCGTGGATGCCGGCATGATGGAACAGGCAACACAAAGCATGGAAACGCCAAGAAATAGTTAAGAGATTTTTATTCTAATAGCTTTAATTACAGTGCTTGTTGTTGAAATGAATTGAAAACAAGTATACAAAACAGTTGATTACTGTGTGTTGAAAGCAAATAAAGAGATTTTCCACAACACTAAACAAACCAGTTCTGATAGTTCCTCAAGTTAAAGTTTAAACAGTTCCAGCTTCTTCAGTGTTTTATCAAAATACAAAAGAAAAAAGTTAGAGGTCTTTCTTGATGGCAAATCTGAACCTTGCAGTATGAGGGATGTGAAGGGTTTTCACACGTATGCAGATGCGGGAGTGTTCAAAACATGGCATCAAACACTTCTAGAATGGAATGAAGCTCAAAACTCTCATGCTTTTATCATTCCCCCCCTAGACACTAGATTCGATGGTCTGGATGGCATTTCTTACTTAAGTACAGTACTTGCTGATGAAAGAGCTGAGAACTGCTACGGGCTGGAAAGCATTTGCCTTCTGGAGTAGTTCCACACAAGAAAAGTCCAAAACACTTTAGGGGAACAGAACAGAACAGATGAAGATGGCACCCAAATTAGAAGCAAGAGAAACAAACTATTCTTGCCCATGTGTAAGAGAGTTAGAGGTTTACAGTGTTTGCAAGCGTGCCAAAGTCTCTCAACTCTGTGGCCTAAACCGAATGATCTCTGACTTTATAAGGGTCTCACATTCACATAAAAACACAAAGGGTTTTGTCAAGCACAGAAAGATCCAGAATGATGCTCATTCTACGATCTATAACATGTTAAATTGCTGGTATTCAAGTTGTTGCAGAACTCACAATGGACATTTTGTTCAAGTGTTTCAACTTTCTTAAAAAAAGAAGAAAAACAAAAAGAAACTGACATCTCCAGGCTAAAAATTAGCCACCAAATCTGGCCTCCACACAGACCTCACAAGCCAAGAGGGATCTTATTCAGCTCTAGTGTACAGCCAGTCGACTGGCAACCCTTCTCTGAATCCACTTTAAATCCCTTTCCCAGTACTAAACAGCGAGTTGATTTTTTTATAATAAAAAAGCTGAGTAATATTGCATAGGAGTACCAGAAACTGTCTCATTGGAAACAAGAACTATTTACATTAAATAAGAAACCTAAACTGTTTTCAGGCTTGGGTTTGCCACACGTACAGCATGGTGAAGACATCCTGTGACGAGAGAAATGAAAACAGCTTCCGGCACTCAATACCACAAAGTAGCACGGTTTGCCACGTTAGAGTAAAGCGAAGGGGGGACGGGGGGAGGAGGAGGAGGAGGCAGAGGGAATAAGGAAGGTGGAGAAAAAGAGGCAGGGAAGAGGACAATCTCAGGGCTTCATTTCTGGTTTCGGAGCTGATTGGACAACCAGTCCAGTCCTTCATAGAGACCGTCCCCACTAGTGGCGCAGGTGGCCTGGATGTACCAGTTCCTGTGGCGAAGGGAATGCAGTCCCAGCTTGTCTGTGATCTCCGCTGCATTCATCGCGTTTGGCAGGTCCTGAAAATGGAAGGAGCTTGCTTTAGAAAGGGGCGTGTTTCCTCGAAAGAGTCACGGGGAGGACCACACGGTACGGTCCAGCTCCTACTCAACGGCAGGATCCCCCATCCCCCTACGCAACCCGGGCTTGACCGGGAGAACTTCACAGAGATTAACGGTGCCTGAAGCCCTGGCTTATTCAAGCCAGCCAGCCAGCCGAGCCAAGTCCAGCCAGATACTAACAAACTTCCTAAACACATTAAATTAGACCTAGACAAAAATTCCTCCTTGGCTTACAAGACGGTGCTCACCTAGCCCAGAGTAAAATCCACCCACCATCCAAGCATTCAGTGCAGATACAATAACCCAAAGCCCCGGAAACACCGTCCACACTCAATGGGGCATAAGGGAAGTACCAGAACAACAAAGCAAAAACGGGGGCATGAACTTATTAGCTATTCATATCTGCTATAAGGCAGCTATTAATTGCTGATCTTGCTGGCAGCAAAGAGCGTCTCCCACCAGTTTGTTACAAGTCACGGCAGTTCAAAAGCTCGGCTTCCTTGAGTCCAGAGCGGTGTGAGCCAGCACATGGCTTCCCATGCTCACAGCAAGTGGGGTAAATCAAAGCAGACACCCCCCCCCCGTCCACGCTGGCCAACTGCAGGATGGCTCAGGCCCTGTATGTACTGACCCAAGCAGCCCAGCCCTTCTGATGAATATCAGGCGCACCCTTTCTCTGTGTAATGCCTTCCGTTTCCAAGTCTTAAGCCTTTGAAAGAATCCAGACCGATTTCACAGAGAAGGGAAGGGTGAGCAAGCCGCCCAGACAACTGCAGCTGGGAAAGGGGCTAAACCGCATCCCAGCCTCTATCCCGAACAGTTGCTTTTGCTGGGGCATCTCTTTTCAGCAGAGAGACAACATTTTCAAGATGCCCATGTCTGCATTACCCAAGTACCTCCATACCAGGGCAGGTAAGGCACATTTAGGGAAGTTTGTTTCCTGACTAAGCAATCAAGGCCTAAGCATGAAGGAACTTAACATCTTGTGATCTGATTCGCATTTAGCATAGCTGTGATTACTGCCTACTTTTACATTCTGGGAACAGAGAAGCAACCACGTTTGATTACTTTATTTTAGCTAGTAACACCATAATTTCAGTGTAAGATCCCAAATGTGGTTAGAATTGTTCAAAATCTGTGATCTAAACTTTATAAATCTTATTGACAAATAATCAGGTTCATTTTAGCTAGGAACTAAAATGAACTTCTGAGCTTTGAGAAGCCAAGGAAGTACTGAGGTTAATACCACAAACAAAAATCCAGTCCAAAAAGTTATCTTTACCACACACACATTATTTAACAACTGAGCTGCCGTTGCACAACCGGCTGCCTGCCCAATGGAGAGAATTTCCTGTTCACGTGGAGAAAGGGCTGGTGTGCACAGTAGCTGAAACAACACTTAAATCAACCCAGTTTCCAGATGAGGGGGCCTGCATGCTCATCCCACACAGGTTATTTTGAAGTGGAAATAAGAATGGAGCGAACACGCTGGCAGTTCTATGGAGCCCCCCTTTTTCAAAGCAAACCACTGAACTCTTCAGGAGGTGATGCAGCTACACATCAACAACAAGGGCCACACACCTCCTGCTCAGAAGGTTTGGCTATCACATGGTTGCCAGTGAGCTGCAACCCAAACACTGGAGCGAAAGAACAGAACAGAAGCAATTTCCACTGAACTGCTGGTGCTGCAGTCCCATTCTTCCAAGGTGGGCTGTTTTTTAAGTTAAAATATAAAGATCAGCAGATTCTCTTTACATAAAGGGGATTGGTTAACTTAACATGTAAGCTATCTACCAAATTCTCAGAAGTACATCATTCTTTTTTTGGGGTGGGGGGGGCAACTGACCTTTTCTTACAGAAAACACGACTCATTCCTGCTGCTGTTATCACACATAGCATGAATTTAGGTCAGTGAAATATTATGAATCAACAGGAATTTGATATTCTGAATGATTTCCTTTCAATATTTTGCAGGGCAACACAAGCAGATGCTCTGGGCAGCCCCATCTATTGCCCTAGTTTGTATTGTGTCATTTTATGTTCTGTTTTAATTATTTACAGTTTAACACCAACCAACCGCTGAAGAACAGAAATCCTACCCCAAGGTCCCTCTAAGATTAGAATCCCCTTACACAGACTTCTGTTCAATTTAGACTGGAATTTGTTGAATCTCTTACATAAGAGGGCCACTCTACAACTGATCTTTAATTCTCCTAAGCTGTTTGGCGATACAACAGTTTGGGACCGCCTACGAAAGGCCACGAGGCAGATAAGGGGAAAGGGCACACAGAGGCTTTCACAGCGAGAGTGCCGTCTCAGGCAAACTGTAAGACTTGCCTTACAAAAACCATCGTGGGCACAGCTTCATGCCAGATGCAGCATGCCTGGCACAGCTGCTCCTGCACCAGCATTATGCGAAAGACGGCCTTTTGCTGCGGAATTTTGCCAGAAATGCTGCTTGCAGCCAGCGCAGCAAACGACGGAAGATAAGAATTCAAAGCCCACCCTAGCAGGTGGCCGCGACTGAGGCAGGCAAAGGGCACCCTGGGAGCCATTTCTGCTGTGCTAGTCACAATTCGTTAATTACTTACCTGTTTGTTAGCAAACACTAAAAGGACAGCATCTCTTAGTTCATCTTCTGCCAACATTCTCATAAGTTCTTCTCGGGCCTCATTGACTCTCTCCCTGTCATTACTATCGACCACAAAGATCAAACCTATAAAGAAAACAACAATTGTTGATGAAGATTGTGCCATAGAGTCTAACAAAAAGCAGTCCAGCCAAGGGCATTTGTGGTTCAAACAAGGATTTCAGAATCTCAAGCAGTGAATTCTCACCACTGCTTTACTTGAATTTGGATGGGGTACAGGGATGGGGAGAAAACAGAGCAATTCAGAAAGGCTCCAGGTACAGACCTTGCCTTATTGCATAGGAAACATGAACTCTCAGGTATCGGTGGCTCTCTCATCCAATTCCCCCTACTTACTTGGCTTAAATGAGTTACACAGAGATGTAACAGCACTGGGCTTTATGAAAGGGTCATTTATGCCAAGTAAAAACAAAACCTGCTTGTGATCAAGCCAGCAGAGGTTCCTATGCAGCATCTCTTAAGAGCCACTGTGGAGGTTGGAGTCATGGACTGCGCACCTGAGAGATCCAGCTACTGGGTGACTTTGGGCCAGGCACTCCCGCCCAGCCTAACCCACATCACAAGAGCTGTTGTGAGAATAAAAGGGAGCTATCTAAAGCTGCCTTGGGTTACTCACAAGAGGAAAAATGCAGGATATAAATGTAACGTAACAAAAATAACAGACAACTATTTTCTGGGCTCCGTTCAAAACACACACATGTAATAACCTTAATCTGATTTGAGAATTCTAGGCATTTGTGAACAAGACAGGGGAGACCGAGTATGAAATCTTTTTTATTACACTGCATAACAACACAATGGAGATCTTGGAAAGGAAGTTTCACCTGTGTTAACATGCGTACATTAAAATTCTGTATGCAAGGCTGTGCATGGCACAATTAAGACCGACAGTTAAAGGGTGGGAGACGTTTCCTTCCACCTCTCACATGAGGGCACTTCCTCCAGCTTGCTCCATGGCTCACAAGGCAATGCGAACTGTGGGAGAAGTGTTCAAAGGAGACCATCTCATATCCCGCCTAGCTCAGATCAGCATTATTGTTAAAGTTTCCATCGGCAACATGCTGATGCGGTCAAACCGAAACTTGCTAGAAAAGCTACTTAAAATAGCTCACCTTGAAAGGGCTTTGAAAGCTATATGCAAACAAGAAAGCTATGTACAAGATATTGTATATACTTCCCAATACAAAGCAGGCAAGGAGAAGCTGCACCATATGATGCAGGGTTACTTGCAAGGAGGTCCACGCATCATCTAACCTCAGCATGCAGGACAGCAGCACCAAACTGGCCGCATGCTTCTTGGGGTTAGAAGTGATGACTGCCAATTACGTTTGTTTGTTCATTTAAAGTTTTTGTATGCCATTCCCTTGCTATATAGCCTTGGGACGGCTTACACAAATAAATAAATATAATACAAATACAGTTAAAACCCGGAAGGAAGGAAGCCAATGGCTAGTATCTAGCTTCCCCCCCCCCCCACACACACACACACAAGAGGCAGATTTAAGGTGTCTGCCAGTGTACGGGGCACAAATGATTGCTGGGTTGACAGCAGAGGTGAGATTCGAGGGAGAGACTTCCTGGTTTACAGCGTGAGTCTTACTTTCATTATACCCCAGCAGCTGCTTAACTGTATGCAGAGTATTCATTCCATGGGCACAAAAGCATCCCTGCACAGAGAAGGGCCATCTAGCTTAGCACTGCTCATGGATGCAGGAAGCAAGCTGGTGCCTTCCAGATGTTTTCGAGTGCTACTACCATCATTATTTACCACTATCCACATTGGCTGGGGCTGCTGGGAGTTGCAGTTCTAATGTGTGCAGGGCACCAGACTGCCACCCCTGGTATAGGTGGACTGATAGCTGCTTTCCAGGGCTTCAGAGAGCAGCCATTCTCAGCTCTTCCTGGTGACACCGTGGACTGAACTTTTTGGATTTTGTTTCATGCAAAACAGGCACACTTAACTCAGAGTTGTTCCTTTTCCCTGCTACTGAAGGTTTTAGCACAACAATGAAACAAAGGCGAGCTGGAGCAACTCCTGTACAAAGACAAGCACAACCATTTCCTTTTCCAGCGTTTCTTGCTTTTGGTTTGCAGCAACTTTGACCCAGTAAGTTTCTTTACACATAATCTGCACCATTAATTACCCTAATTGTTAATCAGGGGGCCTTCACAAGTGTGTATCAGCCACCGTTTTTAACAAGCAAGCCCCTGGACTTATAACCTCTTCAGTCTAGGGTTATATGGGGCTTGTTTAATCCTCACCTAACATACTTCTGCACCTTCCAAACATGCCAAGCCAAATGCTGCACCTTGTGGCCAGCACTGCTGCCCACGTGCCCCAAGGCAGGGTGAGCTTCAGGGGTTGTGCAAACCCAGTCATTAAGTCAAGGCTGCCTGAACAAATTATTTCAGAAGCAGAGAGGCAAGAGCTGACAGTGGCAAGCTGCACGCTTGCTTCACAAGGGCTAGAGTTTCTGCACACAAAGTTGTGAAAGCAAAACATACCGGGATCCATCAGAACACCTACCAAGTCAGCCCTGCAGGCTGGAAAAGGTCCTTCACGGAACAGACACAAACTTCGATGCAAGCCAACTTTTAACAGAATATGCCAGTCCCAAGAGAATAAAATGTCAGTCTGTCGTGAAATAGGTATATGGAAAGCAGTTTTCCTTGCAGCAGCTGAAAATAGGCTTAAAGTCTAGACAGTTCTGGTTTGTTTGTTTGTTTGTTTAATTGAAAAGCTGGGGGAGGCAACTGGTGAGTATTAAGCACAACGCCCAAGAGGGAACAGCAAGTGCAATGCAGCATTTAGGCCACTACCTGGCCCCTAAAGTGATGCGGCAGGGCACCCACACCCTTCTCACTCGGTGCCATTTGGAGGTAACAGGAAGCAGAACAAGGGCACGTCTCGGAGCACTGAATATCCTGGCCTTCCCAACCCGGAGCCATTCAGATAGGTTGATCACAACTCCCATCATTACGGGGCAACACCCCTGGAAAGCACCAGGTTGGGAAAGGCTGTCTCTGCATAGGGAATTTTCCAAACCCTTTCTAGACGTGCCAGGTTTAGACACCGGACCTTTTCACAGGCAGAGCCTGTATTCTGTCACCGAACTTGTACGGCGCTTTTGGGGGGATACAATTGTTAGCATACATGCAGAGAAAGCTGTCAAAGTGCCACTGCGAAGATCCCCTCAGAAAGATGAACGAATTGGGTTAACCTAGCTTGAAAGGAAAGGGATAGATCCTTTCTAGGTATCTGTGCCATGAGGAGACCGTCAGTATTGCATATTTCACATTCCACTTGATCTATTTCTGCACAGAGAAGACTCAAGACGGGCAACTGAGGCGATCAACCCAGCTTTGGAAGAACGGAAGCCATCTCATGCACAGTGGCCAAACTCTTAAATGGGGTTCTAATTAATACACACAGTATACAGGTGTTAAAGACAGCAGCTCACCTTGCGTATTCTGGAAATAATGGCGCCAGAGTGGCCTGATCTTATCCTGGCCACCTACGTCCCACACCGTGAAGCTAATGTTCTTGTATTCTACTGTTTCTACATTGAAACCTGAAAAAGAAATGGGGGACAAGGATGTGATAAAGTGCAAAGCAGTGTTTGTCTATGAGGCACAAGTGGATAAGAACACTAATAATTTCAATTATATGCTCCTTACCAACCCCATCCCTTGCAGTTGGCCTTTAATGCAATTAAAATCTCATTTTATAAGCCAGTCTTAAACTCTAGTCAAAATAACATACTAATCTCACTCCAGCACACACTTCACAAATGTGGAGCAAACAGCTATTTAACACATATTTTGGGATTTGAAATATCAAGCATACGAGCAACTGTGGTCCAAACGGTAGACTGCTAGGCATGGAATCGTATCTTGCTCTGCACTGTGGTCACACTTAAAACAAATTAGCAACTGAATTTTCTGCTTTTAATTTACCAGCATTACCATCCAGAGAAGTTTCAGTTGTAAATAAACCTGAAAACCATGGGTAAATTACAATATCCAACAGCATATGATGGTAATTTGCTTGTCACTTTCATAAGCCGCCCCGAGGCTTCGGCGAAGGGGGCGGCATAAAAATGTTTTAATAAGTAAGTAAGTAAGTAAGTAAGTAAGTAAGTAAGTAAGTAAGTAAGTAGTGAGGGTCCAGGTCCAAAAACTGAACACATTATTCTGCAATATTCCTTCTCTGAAATTCTGACCACTGATACTTGGAAAATGAACACACCAGGGTTTTTTTTTTTTTAAAGAAAACCTCAAAGGGGCTCCAAACCTTTCACGAATTAACCAGATTACTTCTCACATGCCACACCCCCACAGCTAGTGTCTCACTCTTAAAATTGGAGAGATGGTTGACCTAAGTCGCAGGGCCACCATGGTGGGGTCAGTGGGATAACCCATTACCTGCCTTGAGCCTCCAAGAAAGAGCAGGCTTTATCTCAGGGGTGGGCCACTGGGGACAGCACAGCTAACGGCGAGGGGTGCTGCAGTCTGGCAACACCGGAAGAGCTGTCCGTATCCCTGCTTTATGCCAAAAGAGAAACTGAGCTAGAGCATTCAAAGCTATTTTCTTCTAAAATTCTAGCAGCAGCAAGATCCTTTCTTAAATGCTGCACTTCAGGGTGGCTAAATGGAAAGAAATGAAAAACTCGCCCTGGCTGTTAAAGGCAAAACTGCAATATGCCCATAAGCAAGGGCTACCTCACTGTCCAATTAACAAGGCAAAATTCAGGACCACAGTCAAATTCTTGTTTCAAATAGACAAGTAGTTCTTTGCCATTGTTTCAGAAGTACCATGTGGAGTGAAACTTACATCTACATTACATGTATGAGATGTTAATCTTGTTTTAAAGGTGCTTTAGAATGGCCATAATTGTAATGGGACTGAAATCTTACCTATAGTCGGAATGGTAGTTACTATTTCACCGAGTTTGAGTTTGTACAATATAGTAGTCTTCCCTGCAGCATCCAGCCCAACCATAAGTATACGCATTTCTTTCTTGCCAAAGAGGCCTTTGAAGAGGTTAGCAAAAATATTTCCCATGCTTCAGTCTGATGTTCACTCACTGGCCAAGGAAATCTACAAAGATAAAGTTCGACACAAATTAGTTCTACATGGAATCAGTCACTTCTGGTATGCTCCTTAGGCATGACTCCCCCCCCCCCGCCGCCAAACTTGAGGACTTTGAAGGGTCTGCAATTGAAGCTCCAAGCAGAATGGAAGTTTTAGGAGTTCAGAATGAAACGTTTTTCACTGGTCAGTTCAGTGGTCTCCTCCTCCCCGTATTGGGTTCAGCTGCTGCGAACAGTACAGAAAGAGCAAGCGCAGGAGATACTTTAAGCACAAGGCAAATGAATTCTTTGGTAGGAGACCAGCCATTTGTTACATCACTTGCTTTTCATCATGGTGTATAAGAACCAATGATTAAAATAATGAGCAACCACTACCACCAATTGGTTTTTTATTTAAATGGGGCTTTTAAAAAAATAAAATCCTTTTTGAGGAAAAATCTATCTAAAGGTAGTTTTCTATTTAATATACATTATAGTACAAAGGTTATGCATCATGAAATAGAAATTAGTTTTTAATTATGTAGCATGAAGCTTTATGTTCATGCAATGTTTAAATGTTTTGGTCAATGAATCCCATTAATCCATTCACAATGTCATGCTCTTCCAAAGGTTTCTTTAAGATTACTAGGCAATTTTTCTGTCTGGAAGATATTATCACAGATGCTTGGTTTTACAGTTCTCAAAACCCTGAATTTGTGTCTGCAGAGATCATGTGCCTCTTCTTCCCAGCAAAAATGTTATAAACAGTTGAGAGAAAGAGCTCAATCCCACTGTTTCTTTGCAAAGCTATGTACAACCCCTTACCTCTTAAGTGCTAAGTTTTAAAAAAAATCAATGAATAGAAGATTGTTGGGAGTGGAATAGATCTGCACAAGAAGCTAAGTGTGAGGAGGGAGGGGCAAACAGTAAAAGGGAAAGTGAACCCCTTCGAGCAGAATACCCCACAAGACTCTGGCCGCTTCTGCATATAGCCTGAGGTTTATTCATATTGTTCTTTCCCTGGAGGAGAAAACCTACCATAGCAGCAGGCTGTAAGAGGGACCTGGTAGGGGAATATTTTAATGGAGGTCCTCTACTTATGGTAAGGCAGGCATGCGTGCAAAGCCATGATTTAAATATAGTCTTAATCACTAGTGATTTAAATTGATTTGATTTAAATCAACTCCACCCTACTTTTCATACTGTGCTGTACAGGATAGCATTCTGTGGAAACCATACAGAGATGTCTCCCTCAAGCCAACACAGAAGGGCAGGCTCCGTCAAATTCAACTTCTGCTGACTCTAAGCTGTCAGAACCCCTCAGCAGATACAATCTATACTGTCCAAAGTAAAACCAAGATATCATTTTTATGCCCATTCACTAATTCCATAATACCCAATTCTGAAAAACAGTACCTCTGTCACCTTTGGTAGAGACAAGGCCACCCACAGACAATGCCAGAGTCGTCTCACTAGATGAGGGCTGGCTTCAGCCATCAAATGTTGGCTATCATACAGAAGTGCCCATTCACTGCCACGTACTAAATGCCACCTGCATGGGCCAGTCTCCTCAGACGGCAGCTCTCAGCATTGCTGCCCATTGACCACGCCGGTTGGGGCCGGTGCGAGTTGGTTCAAAACACGTGGTGCGCACCAGGCTGGGGGAGCCTGGCTTCGACGGTTTCAAACGAAAATGCCGGTAACACGGTCTGTGCATGTCCACCGAGAGCCCGCCACCGAATCTTTCATCCAGCTCATCTCGCCATTCCATCGTCTGCACTGAGCCACATGCCCTTCCAAGCTGCGCACAGGCGCCTGTGGCTGCGTAACATTACATCTAACAACATGTAACAGCATCACTGTCGTGTACACTCTTGAACGTATTCTTGCAAATCATGAACCAAACTACTGAGTTATTTTGAGTACTGGGAATACAAGAAGTTTCCTCACAGAGGTGAGACCACTGGTCCAGCCAGCCCAGTATTGCCAACACCGACTGGTAGCAGCAGCTCTCCTGGAAAAGCTGGGGCTTGAGGGTGGGGCCTTCTGCAGGCAACGCAATAGCTCTTACTTCCGGCCTGCTATTCCTCCCTGAGACAACCTGATTTTTCGCTTCCATAGTGAGAGGATTAAATAAATCAGATAATTACTTAGTACTTCATTACAGCATTTTAAAAGCACTTCTGGAACTTCATGAAACCATTAAACATTAAGTGTAACCAAGTGCAGTTGAGAGGATACTGAGACACAGCATATGCATTCAGAAACAGTTACGCCCAACAACTTCCACATTTTGAAGTTTGAAAGATGGCCAAACTTGAAGTCAAATTGACAGATAAATCCTGGGGAGCATTCCTTAAGTACTCGTGGCTGGGGACCTACAGCAGTGTTTCAGATTTTCTCTCCCACTCCAAGCACTGTATTTATAGTGCCATAAGCTAATTAGGTGAGCAGACTAATTGCTCAATATTTACATACTGCACCCTGTCATTATGACCTTCTCTTTCTAGGGAATTCTTTGATGAACAACATCTGAGAAGGCCGCAGAGGAAGGACTTCCTTGCCTTATTAAATATTTTCACGGTTCCTTACCCATTACGCCTGTTTTCCTTTAGAGCTCTTTAGAAACTCCCTTCAGAGTCATTTTAATGAAATGGAGATGTGGAGAAAGGATAGGAAATATAATAATTTTCAGGACAGGCAATATAGTAATTTTCCAAAAGCATGTGAAAACTGAGAGTGGAAAGAGCACCCCTATTTTCAGAACAGAGGGAAGAGAAATTGATTAGACCACTCCCTGAATAAAAAGCTTTAAGGTAGTCAGGAATAGCTCAAGTGTACAATTTCCACACAAAGGCTCTGTTGAATGCCCCAGTTCAGTACAAGCACTCCTTTCCAGGGCCCAGCTTCTGTATCACCAGCAGCTCGTGGCAATGCCCCCTCCCCCTTGTAAGCCAAAGTTCCTTCAATCCCAGTTTCTGCCTCTCATATGGCCAGGGCCCTATGTCCATCTTTGATGGGCTGCTGCTTCATCCTCTTTCAACTCTATGCTAGCCTTTCCCAAACACTGCCACTTCTGGCCAGACCAATTGCCATGTGTCCTTTCTTACTATAGACACAAGTAGCCATGTCTCATTAGCGATTCTGAGTACGCCTTTCCCACTACGCCAATTCTATATTTTTCCCCACCACAACAGGATATCACCAGCTTCCACTCCTTCACGAAGGAGGCAGAGATCCCAGCGTGCACCAGGCGTTCCAGCACCCCCTTCAAGGTTCTTCAGAGCGAGGCAACAGTCCTCGGCATACATTCCTCTCTACTCTGTCTGACTGCGGACACATATGAACTTCCTGTGAGCGAATGCAGCTTAATTTCTATCACACTCTATGAGGATGAAGGACAGAGAAGCATCCACTGGGTCTGGAGGGAACTTCCGCAGTGGGAGGAATGACCTTCTCCCAGCATTAGTGATTCCTTACTCTTGGCAATGGCAGGAGGTGGCTACAACCCACCCCCTGCCTCTGACACTAGCCCTGGACTGCCCATGCGTCCGTCTCCCAGATGCTGGCAGCAGCTTTCCTTTGGATAATATAAGGCACCTTCAGGCACAAGACCTCCAGGCCTCATGCATCGCCTTATTGTCCCACAACACTTTGTAAAAGGCAACAGCTAGTTCAGTCCTAGACGCACCCTTCAGTAATTTTACTGCGGATTTCTCATTTTGCTGCGGATCTAGATTCTCTGCAGCAGTATGCAGACAAGTTTTACCCATGGATCAGCCATATAACAAACAGAGCTTTTTTGGTGTTAATTTGCAAGGGTTTCTTAAGTAGTTGGTTAAGTTTAGTAGTCCACAAAATAGAAAGCTCAACTTGTTTCTTGAAAATACCTTCTAGTAACCAATGAACCAAAGAGAATTTACCTGCATATGCCGAAAGCATACACGGTACTGGGCTCTACTGTAACATACTTCCTAGCTCTAAACTGCTTAAATATTAAGCTGCATTACTTGTTCCTCAATTCAGTACACATAAGAACAGAATTGCTTTACACTGTAGTGTGATTATTAAAGGATAAAGGAAATACTAGTGGGTAACATTTGGACATTGATCCCTAGTAGAGAAGAAACAAAACAAAAATGTCAGCAAATTTACTTAGAAAGAACAATGAAGTTAGAATCTTGTATGTAGCAAGAAAGACTGCTGAATAATAAACCAAAACAGCTGCTTTAGCAGAAAGTTACTAAAATCCCTTGCCTGTAAGCTAAAAATGGGTATGAATGAACTTCTATCATGATTTCAAAATCAAAAAACTAAGATTATAACACTTTCAGCTAATAAGAAGTATAACTCCAGGTGGATTTTGTGGAACTTCATTCTCATTCAATTCCCCCAGTACCTGTGTGAACTGTCGAGATACTTAAATTATTAAGCAGCGAGAGCAGCGGCTCTGCAATTGATAAACAGAATGTTAATATAGGAATGAAGTTTTATTCTCCAGCAATTAAGGATCTATTTATGAATATTCTCTTCCCGCCACATGCATTGTGTGTTCTGGATAATAACGTGATAAAACCCCACATTTAGAATATGGTTAACCAATTATCTACATGCTTATTAAGACGTAAATCCAACTGCATTACATGGTTCCAAGGGAACAGAATGGTCACAGGACCCTAACTCTAACCCTTGCCAAGTAAGGGTGGGCAAGCCTGATACCTCCACATTTTGCACTAGAATTACTACAATCTCTGACCATGGGATAGGTTGGCTGGGGTTTGTGTGTGGTATAGTCCAAAACACCTTGAAGGGCACAAAGTTCCCTCTATTCCTCCTTCAAATCTATAAAAATAACGTGCGCACGCTGACAAGGCTATATAGAAGCCAAATTCATAAGGAACACCAGTGAAGTCACTAAACTAGCTTATTTTTGCAGTATCTTTTATCAGATATATTGTTAATTGCAGAGATATATTGTTTTAATTCTCGGGAGGGTGTGTTGTTAACTGCCACAAGCACTATTGGGAT